AGTATCAGATTGTTCCATCTCATTTCCCTTTGGGGTTGCTGTAGGTGATCTGGAAGTCTATTTTTGAGGCTTGTTTATGTGTCTTCTCATTTCCACTTGCAGCTCACCTTCTCTGTCCTAGGAGAGTGGAATGGCGGCAGGGGAGCTTCCTTCCAGGTCAGTAATTTCTTAATATTAAGAATTGCTGACTTTCATAATCATTATTACCTTTGTTCTAGCAATAATAAATATATAGACTTTAACTTAAGTTAAAATGGTGCAACTACTTTAGAAAACAGCTTGGCACTTTTTTCCAAGGAATTGAAAACATGTGCACTCCATCTGCAATCTATGTTTATTGCAGCACTGTTCACAATAGACAAGGAATCAACCTAATCGTCCATCAGTGGAAAAATGAATAAAGTAATGGATACTATTCAGCCACAAAAAGCATGAAATTCCATCATTTGTAACAATGAATAAACCTAAAGTACATTATTTCAAGTAAAATAACAGAAAGACAAACACTACATGACCTCACTCATATGTAGAATCTGAAAAATATTTGATCTCATACCAGTTGAGAGTAAAATAGTGGTAAAATAGTGGGTACCAGAGACTGGGGAGAGTAGTGAGGGAGGAAAATGTTAAGAGATTAATTAATGAATATTGCATAGTGTTACTGAATAAGAAGAGAAGGTTCTGATGTTCTACGGCACATCTTGGTAAATATAATTAATAATAATGCATTATATATGTCAAAATAGAGAATTTGGGGTGCACTTACCATTAAAAAAATGATAAACGTTGCAGGTGAAAGAAATGCTAATCACTTTGTACTCGTCATTACCTAATACATATATACATGAATCAAAACGTCATGTTTCATCTCAGAAATATCCACGAATATGTGTAAGTCAAAAATGCAATAAAAGAAAAAGAGAGAAAAGAACACATAATGCAATCCAAAGCAAGCACATTCTGAGGCTCTTTATCTATAATAGAGAAAACTTAAAAATAACCCAAAAGTCCAACAACAGATGACTGACTAAACAAATTTCAGCAATACATACTTATAAAAGGCCATTACTCAGCACTAGTAAGGAATAAGCCACTGTCAGATGTAGCAACGTGATTGTATGTAGTAAGATGAATGTAGCAAAATGCTGTAGTGAGCAAATGAAACAGCATGAAAAAGGCATACACATTTTACCATGCCATTGATATGAAATTTCTAAAACACACACTTAATGTATGGTTACAGAAAGCAGGTCAGTGGTTGCCTGAGGTTGTGGGGTGGAAAGACTGAATGAAAAAGGACACAAGAGGACTTCTAGAGATAACAAAAGTGTTCTGTGCCTTAATTGTGGTGGTGACTGTGGGGATGTATGCTTTTGCCAATATCCAGTAATTAGTACAATTAAAATGGATTTTGTACTATTTGTATTGTGTAGTATACAGCATATATTTTAGTTCAAAGGAGTCAACAGAAAGAAAAACAACATTGATCTAAATTTCTCACTATATAAATTCGAGAAAATATGGCTTAATGAAAGTAGAAAAGAAGGAAAAAGTAACAAAAATTAATGAAATAGAAAAAAACACAAACTAAAAATGGACTCATTAAAAAATAAAACTGATTTTAAAAACTAGCACTCAGAAACAAAACCTTTGTTAGGGCGGGGTGGAGGGGGTGAAGGGAGGGCAGGAGAATGGGGAAAAAAATAAGAACCAAGATATATTATGTAAAGGTACAAATTCCCAATGATGAATGTCATCATATTGTATACCTAAAATGTACAAATAAACTGAATGAATAAAAAAACTAGCACGAGAGAGAGAGTGAGAAAGAGAATAAGTCATTTGTCTGAAATGAATTGTGTCCTTCATACATTAAAAAGAAGAAAACCTGGGTATTATGAAAAATTTTAGATAATAGATTGAAAATTAGGAAGAAAGGGACAAATGTGTTTTGGACTTTTACTTTTCATTTCTTCTTCCTTGTCCTCTGAATCTACATCCTCTCAAAGCACCTTTAAAAACATCTCTCATACGATGTCTGTCTTACTGCTATCAAACTAGAGGGTAAAGACTCTACTTGAATCTTGCCTTTCCCCAAGTCCTTCCAGTTCACCCATGACATTAAGTTAATTATATCTCATACCAAACATGCTGTCCCTCTCATTCTCAGAAAATTATGTTTCCTTTAGAAAGTGGGCCCAGTGCCTTCTATAATCTTAACTACTTTATCTTTCTATTTCTGCAAGAACTGTCCATTCTCAACAGATTGAGCTCATTCCTCTACTGTGAGATAATTCACCTTGCACTCCTGAAACTATGCCCTTGTTCCTCCTCCATGCATCTCCACTTATTGAAATGTTAACTATTCTCCAATAACTGACCCCAGGGCTACCTCACCTGTGGGTAAAGCTATTTTAGATCATAATGTTCTTTCTCAGTGTTCTCAGATAAGTCACTCTTTGTACTATGCATGACATACCATCCTTTATTCCAGATATATTAGGTAAGTTTCTCTAGAGAAATGGATTCAATATGATGTATTTGTGTGTGTGAGTGTGTGTGTGTGTATGTGTATTATGTGTGTGAACAGGAGAAAGAGAAAATTCCAAAGAATTGTGACGGCTGGCAAGTCCAAAATCCACAATATGGGAAGCTGCAATTCTTGCAAGAAATGGATGTCTTAATCTAAAGGTAGTATAGAGGAATACTCCCTTCCTCTATGGGGAAAAGGGCTCAGGTTTTCTCTCTCTCTAACTCTCTTTTTTTTTTTTTGTACCAGGGATCAAACTCCAGACCTTATGAGGCAGGTGGTGGCACCACTCAGCTAAATCCCCAGCCCTCACTCTTTTTTTGAGTCAGGATCTTGTTATGTACCCCATGAGCCTTGAACTCTTGATGCTCTTCCTGCCTCAGACTCCTGAGTGCAAGGATTACAGGCATGCACCACCCTGCCTGTCTCAGTCTTTTTCTCTTAAGGTAAGGCCTCCAAACATTTGAATGAGGCCCCCCAAGAACATCATCTGAGGAATTACAGTAAGTGAAAGCAAAACTATTAGAGGATGTAAAAACAACTGTAGCTTGTGAGGAATATGAAACACCTCTTCCTTTTAGAAAGAATAAGTTATGGTAAGAGTAGAAATAATAAAAAGTTCGTTGTGTGAAGTTTGTTCATAGTCAAAAATCATCTTCCAACTCCCAGTTTGGCTGCTTTGAGCGTTTGTAAAGTTCGTATCTTTCTTCATTTAATCAGACTATGCTTCTATGCAACCAGTCTGTCTTAGCTATGCATCAGATCCATGTTACCAAGCATGAATGGAGATTAAGTACCTCTCAGAAAAAACCTTTCCACAGTAGTAATTTGCCTTATGGTTTCCATCTTGTCATATAAACTCATGAATATTTTTAAGTCAAGAGTCCTTGTAAACAAATGTTTCTTTGTATTTTTATAGCTTTGTATGTTCTAAAGTACTTGCCATGAGAATCTCCACATACTTGTCAGTAAGGATTGACTGACTCACACATAGACTTTGATGAGGCCAACTAAGATGTTCAGATTCTATTGTCACATTACCTACGTATTGATAGATATCACTATCTATCACTCCTCTTCCTCCGCCCCTGTGTGTGTGTGTGTGTCTGTTTCCCAGCCACCATGAGGTAAGCAGCTTTGGATACACTGCACATTCCCTGCCATTATCTTCTGCTTTGTCACAGGCCCAGAAAACATGGAGACTGAGAACCATGGACTGAAATCACTGATTGTGAACCAATATAGATCTTTCCTCCTTATAAGTTGTTTATCTTGGGTATTTGGTCACAGTGATACAAAGCTAACATAATTATTTATACAAAGATCCTTTACAAAATAGTAGTAAATCATATTCAGCAACATATTACAATCACTAAATGCCATAAACAATTCCAAGAGATGGAGGGAGGGAGAAGAGGAAGTAAAAGAATTCAAATTTGTTATGTACATGTACCAACGCCCCACATGAATGCAATCATTAAGTATGGCAAACATGTACTAATAAAAATAAACATTATAAAAAGATAAAATTTAATTCCAGTATTTCAAGTACTGTTCAATGTGTGTAAATCAATCACTATTAAAACCCACAAAGAATTAAGCAAAAATGTGATCATATCAGCTAATGCAGAAAGACTATTTGACATGATTCAAATTTTGTTTTTCATTTAAAAAGTTCAATAAACTGAGTAAGAGGAAACTTTGTCAACATGAAAAATACAAAAAAATAAAATAAAAAACCCATAGCAAATATCACGCTCAGTAGTGAAAGACTGAAAACTTTACCTCTAAGATCAGCAACAAAAAAGGATGCCTGTTTTTTACCTCTCCAACTCAACATAGTGTTTGAATTTGTAATCAGAACTCTTAGTCAAGAAAAAAAAATAAAAGCATTCAAACTGGAAAACAATAAGTAAAAGTATCTCTGTTCACAGATCACATGATTTCATTTGTAGAAAATCCTAAATTTTATATGCACACACACAATTGTTAGAGCTAGTACATAAATTTCACCAAAATTGTGGAACACAAAATCAACATGCAAAAATCCATTTCTGTACAATAAATATAAACAATTAGCAAAGGGTATTAAGGAAAATTTCACTTAATAAAAGCTTCAAAAAATAAAATTAACCAAGAGGCAAAAGACTTGTACTCTGAAAACTATAAAACATTGGTGAAAAAAATTAAGGAAGACAGAAAATAAATGGAAAGACATTTTCTATGCATGGACTGGAAAACTTAATATTAAGATGATAGTATTGCCCAAAGTGAAATATAAATTCAATAGAATTTCTATACAAATCACATATTTTTTTAGCACAAATGGACACTAACATCCTAAAATTTATATAGTATATCAAGAGACCCTTTGGCCAAGGATGTAGCCCAGTGGCACTGTGCCTGCCTGGCAAGGGCAAGGTCCTGAGTTCAATCCCTAGTACCAAAAAAATGAGAGAGAGAAAGAGAGAGAGAGAGAGAGCCCAAATTGCCAAAACAATTGAAAAAGATCAAAATTTAATTTTTCATTTCTAGTCATATTCCAGGTAATGGCCAATCTGTTTATCTTGGGACCACACTGAATAGTATAGAGGGAAAAAAGAAAAGGATGAAAGTTCCTCAGGAAAATAAAACATATCTTTTGGTTCTTATAAACTAGTAGCTACTAAATCATATAAACAATACTTTTTCAAGTAATTCATGAAGAAATACATAAAGAAATATAATCTCCTAAGGTAACTACAACTTGTAATGGAAGGCAGAATGTTATTGAACAGAATATACATATAAGCAAAGACCAAAAGAAAACCAGACAAGGAGGTAACTGTTGTCAGGGAGCGATAATAAAGTAATAGAATCAAAGCTTTATATAAAGTACAGCTCAATAAATATTTGTTGTGCAAATGTACTTTACCTATCATAATTACTAATTCAGCTAACTAAAAAGATATTACAATAGCAAACAACTGAAAACTAGGGACGTAGGCACTCAGATTTTTACAGAAAAAGTTTCGGTTTGACTCAGTGCACTTCCTGTGTTTGTGTCATATCCCAAGTGCAGGATGGTGTGAAGAACACAGTGTGCTTTACCTGTGCACTCATCAGTGTTACAATCAGATAGTACAGCGGAGCAATCAGAAAATAATCTTAGTAAACTGTAACTATGAAAGTCCAATTAGTTACGGTTGAGCAGAGAATTCGGAGCAGGATTTCGGAGTAAATAGACAACATCATGCACTTAACCAAGGTGAGCCTGAGTTGTTTTCATTTCTTTTTCATGAATATATGGGTTGATTATATAATTATATAATGTTGATTATATAATTGTAAATTTCTATAAGATACAAATTATTGATATTTGCTAATAGTTTTATGACTTTTCTATTTTATAACTTTTTCAATGAAAATTACTGGAGATAGTATAAAATCAGTAGAGCAGTTGTAAATATTTTCTATACACAGTTACGACTATTGACTTCTAAAAAAGCTGATGGATGACTATATTTATATTAAGCTTTCCTTCTTGGTGGTAAAAGCATTTATGACACAGTAGGTGGGGCACAACACTTAGAAGCTTACTTCCTGAAAGTTTATTAGCTTTTTAATGTGCTTAGGTCCTGGTTAACTAATTAGTAATTCCTCTCTACTATTTACATCTTATCTTTATAAGAATCTCAGGATAGGGTAATATATGGCATAATAAGTGAGACTGAGTCACAAATATCTCTCTCTACACATCAGTAATGTAATAATAATTTATGAACATAATGTGATCTTAAGATAAACTAAAATTCTGAGGTTTCATGCAAAGAAAGACTATAATATGCTTAACACAGTTTTAATGCCAATTGATTTTCAAAGTATTGTAGGTAGTTTTTTAACTATTAATCCATACATGGTGGAAGCTGAAATGTGCTTATATTTGATGAACCAGAAAACTTTCCTCTTTCAAACTGATGGCTAACAAAAACTACTGCATTGGGTCTGGTTTTGTTTTATATAGAAAAAAACTAAGCATGAGGTAATTTCAAGGTTTTCATCAATTACTATCAATTCAGTGGCAGGGGCCAGGCATGGTGGCACATGCCTGTAATCCCAACACCAGACAGGCTGAAGCAGGAGGATCTCTGTGAGTTCGAGGCCAGCCTGGGCTATATAGTGAGTTCAAGAACAGCCTGAACTACATAGCAAGATCCTGCCTCAAAAAACAAAACAAAACAAAAATTCAGTGGCAGAGTAGGGATAAAAGTCTAAAAGCCAATATCCTGACAAACCATGCAATTTCCACTTTCATTTTCCTTTTTTACCCCAATACTAATTTTTCATTAACTCCAAATCTAAGCCCAAAATGAAGTAAAGAAGTTATAAATTCAATGACAATATCTGAATAACCTGAATCTGGTTGGAGTGGAAGTCTATGGAGGGTGACATTCCAAAAATTTAGCTTTTTTCAGAAACTGGTGAGGATGTAAAGAATGCTACACATTAATCAATGAAAAAATGCACATGGTCATTCTGTTTTTTCTAATAGTTTACTTCAGAAGAATTAAATTGTAAATAAGATGGCAAATTCTGAAAGGAGTAGGAAGATTATCAGAGAAACAAGTAAGCTTTCACTAAATTACACAAAAAGTATCTTTCTGCAACTTCAGATATATATCATCCTTTTCACAGCTATAGCAAAAAAAATTACATTTTTTTCCAAAAATAGCTGCTGTTTGCATTTTGCTGTACTTCAACAAAAATCAGTATTACAATTGGTTTAACAGTGATTTTTTGTAATTATTTATTTAGACTTCTGATATCTCCTATTCTAAATTTCTTGTAGCTTACTTGTATGTAGAGGAAAAGAAACCTGCCTGCAAATTTTTATTTTGAGTTTTATGAACACTGTGTTTCATGTGGGATGTATACTTTTCATTGAGTAGATGCCTTTACACATATGTGAGTTATATAATTCTCTACACATATAATTTATTAATTTAAAGATATGAAATGGAAATAATTTTAAAATCTATTTTATTTTCACTTATACCAGAACAACAGTGTTCCATCTGGATATACAACTGGAAAGAAACCCCCACGTCACAGGGTTCATTAATGCAGGAAATGGCCAGAAGGGCCTCTTCTTCCACTCCAGTTTCGTAGGAGTCAAGCACCTTTATCAGATACTTTTTGAGGCTGAAGAAAATTCTTCTTGGGAACTTTTTTTCCTATTTCATAAGAGGTTTTAATTTTTATATGTTTATTTTCTTTTAAGTTGACAATAATGGTATACATTTATAGAGTAAAATGTGACATTTTGATACATGGATATACATTGTAGAATGACCAAATTAGACTAATTTAATACATCCATTGCCTTATTTTATTTCTTTGTCGTGAGAACATTTAAAATCCACTCTTTTAACAATTTTGAAGTTTATATTATTATCAATTGTAGTTACCACAATGTGCAAAAGATCCCGAACTTACTCCTATCCCACTGAAACTTTGTTCCTTCTGACCAAACTCTCTCCTTCCTCCACTCACGACCCACCCTCCTCAGCCTCTGGTAACCTCTACTTCTGTGAGTTTGGCTTTTCCAGATTCCACAGGAAAGTGAGATCATGCAATGTTGGGGAGTTTTTTTGTGTTTTTGTTTTTGTTTTATTTAGCACAATATCCAGTAGATTTATCCATGTTGCTGCAAGTCACAGGATTTCCTTCTTTTGAAAGCTAAGTAGTATTTATTATGTATCTATACCAAGTATTATTTTATCCATTCATCCACTGATGAGAACTTATTGTTTTCTTATCTTGGCTTATTGTGAATAGTACTGCAATATGCAGGGAAATGCTAACAACTCTTCAAAGTACTAATTTTGATTTCTTTGAATATATACCTAGCACTGGGGTTGATAATCATCTAGTAATTCTATTTTTACTTTTTGGACCCACGCCATACTCTTTTTCCATATGTACTCATGGCTATTATCAAAGAAATGAAATATAACAAGTGTTGGAAACAGTCTGAAAATCCAAAGATCCTCATTCCACACCCCACATTTCTCCTTTAATCTTCTGTTGTTGTTATTTTCCCAAATTTTTCCTATCTGTTGGCTATACAGTCTCAAGGACCTTTTCTTCATATATTCAAAACCTATTCTTTGAATTCTATGCCTGAGAATAATGGTGTGAGGGAATATGAAAAAGCAGATTGATTTTAGATTCATTTGTACACTTAAGCATTACCTGTAGACTGAATAAGCCATAGCTCCAGCATATATTTCACAAGTAACATTATAGCTCACTAGTTACAAGTTCAACCTCTGCTTTCAGACTCAAATTCATTCACTATGTAAACTGGGAGGGTGTGCTCTCTGACTCAGTCTCCTCATCTTTAAAATGGTCATAATAAATACTACCAATTGTCACTTATCAAAACTGATTTTATATTATAAGCTAGAGAAAAGTTAGATATTTGTCTTCTTCGGGTGTCTTTTTTAGAAAGCTTAAAACTATTCTTCAGTCTTCTTTTTTAAAAATTCAGAATTACATGTGTGTATGTGTGTGTGTGTAACTGGCAGATGTCCATGAAATCATTGGATCAGATTCATTGCTTGCATTTGGATCTCCTTGAAATGTGAGCTAAAAAGTGGTATTTTCAAATGGACAAAATTCAAAGTACAGTACATTTGTTTAGTTTGCACTTAAATTCATTATATTTAAAGCTCACAGTTGCTCTCAGAATTTGGTCACAATTGGTTAAAATGTTTAATTCATCACTTAATAGCCATGAGGATTGCTACTAGAAAGAAAGAAAAACAAGTGTTGGTGAAAATGTAGAAAAATTGGAATTCTTGTGCACTGTTAGAAATGTAAAATGGAGCAGCTTCTACAGAAAACAATCTGATGGTTCCTCAAAAAATTAAAAATAGAATTCAGCAAATGTACTTCTGGGTATATACCCAGAAGAATTGAAAGTAAAAAGTCAAAGAGATAATTGTATACCTATATTCACAGCAGCATTATTAGCAATGGCCAAATTATGGAAAAAATCCTAGCACCTATTAATTAATGACAGGGTGAACAAAATGCAGCATATACATACAGGAGATTATTAATGTTCAGCCCTTTAAAGAGGAGAGAGATTTAAAGCATTACAATATAAATGAAGCTTGAAGAAATACTAAGTAAATAATTCAAAGTCGGCCCTTGAAGACCCTAAGCCAGTGACAAAAAGGAAGATATTATATGATTCCACTTTTATGAAGTGTGTGGAGTAGTAAAACTCATAAAGGCAGAAAATAGAATGGTGTTGTTGGGGTCTGAAAGAAAGTGACAAAGGACAGTTCTTTAGTGGTACAGGATCTTAGTTTTGCAAGACAAAAAGAGTTCTATGGGGACAGTAGACAGCAATGTGAATGTATTTAGTGCCCTGATCTTACACTAAAATGGTTAAGTAAAGTAAGTCTGTTATGTATATTTTATCATAATTTTAAAAAATGTTTGCTCCAGATACATGTCTTCATTTGCTGCCTTAACAGAATTAGAGATGGACGTGACATCATCCTTTCCCAGTGATTTTTCTAAAAATCTTTGTCCTTTCATTACATTTGTTTTTAAATTTCAGTGTTTTTAAAAATTTGCTACCTATGGTAATATTTGACATTTCAGCAAAATTGGAAAATTTTGTAGATTATATTCACACTGTAACTTTTCCGGTTTTAATATTTATTTTCCAGAACACTACAAGAACAATTGCCTAAAGCAAGAAAGCAAGCTGTTGGATCTACTGAGATAGTAAGTGAAATCAAGTAGAAAGTGTGTACCAGAAAATTTTAAGAAACAGTCAGTAGTAAACAATAATAAAAATCCAAAAGGGACTTTTTGGATGAGGGATAAGAAAAAGCAGCACAATATGCACACAGCTTAATTTTTTCAACAAGAAAAAGTGTGTGTGTGTGTGTGTGTGTGTGTGTGTATGTTACATAAATGTAACCAAAAAGTTTTGTCTGAGTGATGGAAAATAGCAACTTTTATTATGTTTATATTTCAGTATTTTTCAATAATTCTACATTGATTAATGTTGCTATTACCTTTAAAGTATTACAAATTATTTTTAAATAAAAAATAATTATCTAAGTATTTTGTAAAGCTTATTTATTAGAAAATATGCCAGGATACTTCTTTGGAATTATGTTTAAGGAACATTTTCATGCATATATTCTCAGACATTCCCTTAACCAACTCTAAACTCTATGCATAGCTCACAACGTTATTTGAAATATACATTGAAAAAAAAACCTGGGAAGTAGCAGAACATGGCAGACGTTAACAAGGAGATAACAAACTATGCTGAGGGAAGGTGGGAGAGCAGATACTTTCTTATCTGTAGTGCTGAATAAAATGCTCTGGAAGTTACTCCATAAATATTAATTAGCCATAGCACAAGTGAATGGAAAAACATGAAATTTTTTCAGTCTTCACACACAAAATATGTACTAACTTCCTCTTGCTGTTATTCAAGTCAACTTACACCATTTCAGTGCCCATCATTTTAAATTCTATCTTGAGCCCTCTCAGTAAGATAAATAATTCACGTTTCCAAGTTTTGTTCATGATTTGGATTTGGAATGGCATTATAAGGACCTAATACAGAATAAAATATAAAGTATTCAATATTTTTGGCTTTCAAGTATTTCTTTCATATTCCAAATAGCCCTGAATAGTATTATAGACCCTAATTAGAGGGTTAGACATTGTCCAGGGTAGAATGAATCTGAGGAATTTTTAAAATAATAGAATTCATTACATTGTTACTAGTTGGTTACTGTTTACTACACTTGTGGAGGCAATGCTATGATGCCAATAAGCCTAGGGAATTAAAAATTTGCCAATCAACTTTCTATAAACTATGTCATTGAAATCTTTCCCAATATCTTATTCTAAATCAACCAAGTAGAAAGAAGTTTCTGAATTATGCTCATGTCTGATCTGACATGTCATCATCTGCAATGTATATGACTTAGTGGCTATATTTTTCAAAATTGATTATAAATTATTAAAATGAGGTGTTTTTTCTTCACTTCATATTTAAACACATGCCCATAGTTTCACATTTATTTAATCTCAGTTTATAAAGTAGCATTTACTTGATGGCAAAAGACGGATGTGTGTTTCTCTGTTTTATAGCCATAACACTACCATGCTTTGGCTGCCCTCAGTTCTGTTTTGCTGATGGACTGGACATCACACTCATCCTGGGAATACTGGCATCAGTGGTAAATGGAGCTTGCCTCCCTTTAATGTCACTGCTTTTAGGAGAAATAAGTGATCACCTAACTAGTGGATGTCTAGTCCAAACCAACACAAGTGAGTACAAGATTTATTTTTCTGCATTACTGAAGACTCAAAAACTTTATAAAATAATATCCATATAACATGTACTTAAATCATTTATTCTTTCATACTGCTAGGTATTAAAAACACCATAATCTGTTCTATCTTACTCATAATTCACCAATGAAAGAGAACCAATAGGATGTCTGTGTATAGATATGTATCTGTGCACGTGCACGTGTGTGTGTGTGTGTGTGTGTGTATGTGTGGAGTCAGAGATAGAGACAGAAGTTTTAAGGAATTGACTTACATGATTATGGATTCTGCCAAGTCCAAAATATGTCAAGCAGGCCAGCAGGTTGGACACCTAGGAGAGAATCAGCTACTGTACCTACAGCAGAAGTCTAAAAGCCATTTGGTCATTTGTTGCTGGTATGTAAGAATAATCTGAGACCCACCCTTACTCAACTTGTCTATCTAGAAATTCAAATAAGGTTCTACCAGAAGTGTTGATTATGTCAGAATTAAAGCAAAGGTTAGACTATCCCAAGGAATTTATATTTAATGACTTCTTTAAAAAGAAATCAAGTTAAAAATGGCTAAAATTTTTTATTTACAAGCTGCCTAAGGTTCTTTAACAGACAAAGACATGCAGGGTATATGAAGCAATAATTTAATAAGTAAGTATCAAAGAACATGCAGAAAATCATAGTACTAGAGACCAATACCCTGAATAAAAGATGAAGGAAATCTAGCAATTTTGTAAATAAAAGCTTTCATGTGACCCATATTTGTAGGCATGTCTTCATATTACCTGTATTTGTATGTATCTTTCATGTATCCTTTGTAGCATTCTATTTCAGGGTCATATTCTTCAAAGTGATATTCTTTAGAACATAAATTCCAATCATTCCTCTATATACTAACATAGTATCCAGAATATTTTTCATCTGGTAGACATTACAAATATTGGTAATTTCTTGATTTTACGTATGTGTTCCCTAATTCCACACCAGGAAATATCCTTATAGCTCTTTATTAAATCTGGGACAAATAACTCATTAAAGCCTGAACTGTCTCTTAGACACTGATGTAGTTTTGTGCAGTGTCTTTCCCTCTGTACCCCACCTGACTAATCTACGCTTTCTTGTTTTCCCCCCAAAGGTTAATAATTTTTCAGGTATTCTACTCTTATTTGAGTGGAATAAGTCATATTGCTTCTCTCTGTCCCTCCAGATATTATCTAGTATAAATTTTCTGATATTTTAGTAATATAAGAAAAATTAAAGATATAAGCAAAATTAAAACTTTGTATTTGAATTATATAAGCTAAATATATAAGCTAAATAAATTGTTATGCACTTGGATACACCAACTCTCAGAGTAAACATTTATTGATTGCCAATTATAAAAAATAAGTGGAAATCTAAAAATCTAAGACACTTGTGTTATTGTTTATATCTAGATGTGCCCCCAAAGCCTCATGGGATAATTGGTGGGCTTTTGAGAGGTGGTTGGATTTGGGGACAGTAGAGCTGGCTTGCTGTTGGGAGGTGGGGTCTGGTCAGAAGAGGCCAGTTGTTGGGGGCGTGGCATTGAAGGGTTTACCTCACTTCCTAGCTCCTCCCGTGAGCTCTCTCAGCTTCCTGGTCACCAGGCCATGAACAGGTCTCCTCCACCCTGGCCCTTCTACCATGTCTTCCTGCACTGAAGCCAGCTAATTATGAACTAAAAACATGAGCCAAAATAAACCTCTCCTCCTTTAAGCTGCCAGTGTTGGGTACTATGACTCAGCAAGGAAAAAATGAGTAAAATAACTTGGGAGTATTTCTTTTATTACACATATTCTATTATTGATTGCCCTACCTATGTTGGATAGAAAAAGGTGGTAAATATTTGATTGATATTGCTGTGATGTATTTTATCAAATATGAATATAAAAATAGGTTTGATAAGGATTTAGGTAAACTCATGTATATTATTTGTGTATTATAACACATCACTAAAGAAAGGTAGGAGTATTAAGAGGTATCCCCACCCTCAACCTTTTAAATAATAAGGTATCAGTTAATAACACTGATTTTTCTGGAGGATAATCACACAAGATGGCTTTCTCCTACAATAAAATATGAGTAACTATCATGATTGGGGCTTGTTTTTGTGCCGGTACTAAATGTTTGCACATACTCCTTCTATTAATATAATCTCCAAAATGAGTTTCGACTTTTTATGTCATTGTGATACCACTTTGGAAACAATATTTATTCTCTTTATCAGCTCAGTTAAATCTCATTAAAATTTCCAACTAAATTTTAGTATCTTCATTTCTACCATGTCAATTCTGACATTTTTGGAGTAAGCTGGCTCAAAATTATAATTTCATAAATAGAAAAAAGGGAAAATAATTGGCCACATATAAGAAAGGTTTGGGCCAGGGATTTAGCTCAGTGGAAATACACCTGCCTTGGAATCACGAGGTCCTGAGTTCAATCCCCAGTACAAAAAAAAAAAAGAAGAAGAAAGAAAGAAAGAAAGGTTCATAGATTCTTACATGAAATGATATTTATGTAAGAGATGACATTTGCAATTTCTTTCAGTTATAGAAGTTTAAGTAAGAAATTATAACAGTGGATCTTGATCATGGCTTGTGCTATTAATGAAATCAAGACCTTGTTATACTGTGAATTTACAATGAACTCTATGTACCACAAACTGTCTACTAGAAGATACATAGAAAGTTTTCATAAAAGACTTTTAACCCAAGGATTACTTGAAACACAGATTTATTATGTGACTATTCTGATTATAACCCAATACATTTCAAGGAGCTTCATTTCTGCTTTTTTCCATGACTGCTTCTAGAACTTCCACATATGTTCTTGCTTTTCTTGGACTTTCTAAATCATTCTCCTAAATCATTCCCTGGGGTATATAAAACTTAATTCTAAAGGCATGATCAAAGGTATGGAAGAGAAATTCTATTTCTACTGCTTTCCTGACTCTTGCCTGTTAAAGCATCTTTAAGAATTCTTTCCAGGTTTGGGCTTCATGTTTAATGTTTCCTTGCATTTTTTCACATTGTATAAATAATTCTTTTTTCTTTTTTTTTTTTCTTTTTTTTTGGTACCGGGGATCGAACTCGGGTCCTTGAGCTTGCACAGCAGGCGGCAAAACCACTGAGCTAAATCCCCGGCCCTGTATGAATAATTCTTGAGAGCAGAGACAATTATTTCAAGCATTAGTTTAAAGAAGAGTAAATAAGATAATCATAAACTTGTTTGCAGGCATTAAGCTCACTTTCTCTAGAAACCACTATGTTTAGTTTGGAGAACTATCTACAAAACCATATGGCCACTTATGATTTCCTTTGTAATATAAAACATTTTCTTTACAGCAAATTATCAAAACTGTACTCTGTCTGAAGAGAAGAGGAATAAAGATCTGATTATGTAAGTAAAAATGAAGTGTTATTATCATACTCATAGCATGTTGCCTTATTCAATGTTTATAAGAAAAATAACTGAAAATTTTGTCTGATTATTATTATATCTAAGTGATTAAATTAAATGTCCTCCTTCATTAGGATATGTAATATAATTACTGTATACTATTTTTTTGCAATACTGGGGATTCACCCCAGACCCTTTGCACTGTGCTATATTCCCATTGCTTTTTCTTTTGTTTATTTTGTGACAGGGTCTCCCTAAATTGCACAGACTGGGCTCAAATTTGCAATCCTTTCACCTCAGCCTCAAATCTCAGTGCTGAGATTATAGGCATGTGCCACCACCCCTGGCTAAGATTTGCATTTTTATACTAATTTGCAGGGGTCGGCGGGGAGACTGGTAAGATTTTTTACTGTACAGATCATCACTTTTTCTTATGGTGGGTTATTTCCAGTTATTTTCTGGGTTCTTGCATAAATTTTCTAAATCAAATTATTATGATATATTTCTTTTTTCTTTATTTTTCCATTTTTTTAATTTTTAAGTACCAACAGTCTAACATTTCCAATAATCTTTCTTCAGGTTGACCCTGTACTATGTCGGAATAGGACTTACTGCCTTGATTTTTGGCCACATGCAGATTTCCTTTTGTGTTATGACTGCCGCATGACAGGCCAAAAGAATTCGGAAACAGTTTTTTCATTCAATTTTAGCACAGGACATCAGCTGGTTTGATGGTTGTGACATCAGTGAATTTAACACTCGCATGATTAAGAGGATGAGTATATAGTATATCAACTTTGTTTTCATGTTTGACATACATACTTATCTGTATGTATTTACTTGTTGCAGTGACATCAATAAAATCAGCAAGGGAACTGGAGATAAGATTGCTCTATTATTTCAAAACATTTCTACTTTTTCTATTGGGCTGACAATTGGCTTCGTAAAGGGCTGAAAACTCACCCTGGTAACTCTGTCCACATCTCCCCTTATAATGGCTCCAGCAGCAATGTGTTCTAGGGTAAGCAAGATAGATAATAATGTTGGCTGGAAGCAAAAGTGTGAACTCAATGTCTTATTGAGTTTGTTAAAACAGATATTTTTATTAATTTTCCATGTCCCAAAATACAAAGGGATACTACTGACCACATATACTTCTGATTTTGCTCATTAATCACCTATCTTTATGTGCATTAAATGAGGCTTGTTTTAATATTTAACATTTCAAAACATTCCTTTTCATTTAGCCGCCTAATGCAGCTTCACGTGATAGCACAGATAAAGTACGATGCCTTTACACATTCAAGGTATAGTTGTTGCTGCTGGGAGAGGCTCCTGTGTTCTAAATCCCAGATAGATGTGTTATAATTCGTTTCACTTGGTACTGAGATAAAGAAGGAAATTCCATAACTACCAGCACTTAAACATTTTAAATGTCTGTCTTTTTTAAGTTTACATTTTATAAGGCTTTGAATAACACTTAAAATGTATGTTAATGTCTACTTTAATGTACTACATAAATATGGTTCAGTTTTTAAAACAAATTATATATTTGCATCTCAAACTGCATTTTTAGCAGTCTTAAACTATAAGTATACCACAAGGTATTAATCTTATTTACAAACTAGTTTTGAAATCAGTATTCTTTGTAAGACCCAAAAACAACAATCATACCCCAATAAACCTCTCTTAAATTAAATATTTGGCAATTATACCAGTGTATATACCCACGTCCTAGATTGAAGACCCAGTGTTTTTAGTTTTGCAATACTAATTGTTCTTTTTGTAAATCGAATCTATCAAATTTCCTGAGCTTATTTGCTACCAAAATGTAAATTCAACCAAACAAGAATTTTCAGCAATAAAAATATTCTGGGGTTAACTAATTCATTAATAGGTTTGGATATTTAGACAACAAATCTATTCTGTATGACTTTCAATGTTGACCTTGTAACCCTTGTCAAAGTCTTCATTTCCAACTTATTTGAAATGAGTACTTCTCAGGAAGATTACTCATACTCAGCTTATTGTAACTTTACCAGCCATCTGAGTATGTCATTCATGAAATAAACTCCAATTATATGGAATATATTTAGAAAGTAGATACATTTTCTATATGACTCTGTAATATTATAACCTCTCAGCTCTGAAGGTACTTGCTCTTTTCTTTAGTTGAACTATTATTCTAGTTACTAAGCTATAAAGGATTAGTAAGTGAGTCATATAATGGAAAAAAGGGTACATGTAATTCTGAATTTTGAGAAATCAGATAAACCTACTATCATGAACAGTGGTATTTTCTCCTTTCACTCCAAATATCACCTCTTGGTGTTCAAAGATAAAGTATTTACTTGGCAGGCTATATTGTACAATAGTTGTTTCAAGGTCATATCCCATACATACACAGGGTCGTGTTCTTTTCCTCCACAGTCCTGGGACCTATATGTCCTCTGTAAGTCTTGTTTTGTGTATAACAACAACTCAAGCCCACTAATTTCCAGAGTGGCCCCCAAAATGAATAGTGTCCTTAATATCTTTCTTCAAATCAAGTTTTTCCCAGTTGTACCAGTGAAGCTATACACATCTAAAATAATTTTTTTAAACACAGAGAGAAAACAGTGATGCTCCAATAGAAGAAAAAAAATAGATATGGGTTTAGATTCTAGGTAATGGTAAGCTACCTAGTATTCTGATTCTGTGAATTAAATACTGTGTACATTGTTACTACTTCACATTCATTCTTTGGTTAGCCTGTGATCGTGATTTATTATAGATGGTCATCTCATTAACCAGTAAGGAACTGAGTGCCTATTCCAAAGCTGGGGCTGTAGCAGAAGAAGTCTTGTCATCAATCCGAACAGTCATAGCCTTTGGCGCCCAGGAGAAAGAAATTCAAAGGTCTGTTGCATTAATTATTACAAAATGTGCTTGGTTTTATTCTTATTTATTATTTATTATTTTATTTTTATTGGTGTTTTGTCTTTGTAAGGTATACACAGAATCTAAAAGATGCAAAGGATGTTGGCATAAAAAAGACTATCGCTTCAAAAGTGTTTCTTGGTGCTGTGTACTTTTTTATGAATGGAACCTATGGACTTGCTTTTTGGTATGGAACCTCCTTGATTCTTAGTGGAGAACCTGGTTATACCACTGGGACTGTTCTTGCTATAAGTCTTATTTGAGAACAAAAGAAACTGACCTATATAATCTTTTCTCGCCTAGAACTTAGTAAAAATTCCATTTTGAATGAAGAGGAATATTCAAAGATGCATGCTTTTAATGAATACATATGTGTTTCCTTCACATGATTTATATTTTTTTTAATTATAATTATGAATTGACAGGATTTAATCATCTAATATATTTCAGTGTTCTCATTGTGCCAAGTATCATGTTTTTAGAAGAATCATAATTAAAATCTTCACTAGGAGATGGTGTTCTTAATCCAGTAGTCAGAAAGAGCAGCCTCTAGTGAGACATTTCCTTTCCTGTTTGCTGAGATAAAATGGTACTCTTATATTCACCTTGCTAAATGTGTCCTCCCTCTGGAAATAGTCTGTACATTGGATTCAGCAGCTCTTCCTCTGTCTTTTCAGCAAGTAGTAATGGTAAAAATAAGCTATATACAGCTCTGTCCAACAATGTGATTTAGAGTCCTTTAAATTCCTGGAGAATATATATTAAAATTTAATATATACAGTTATCTTCCCAAGTTTCAGCAATAAATAGATCAATTCAGAATTTAAAAACATTTGTCATGGTGAACATGTATTTGCTGTACATACATCAATTCTTGCTTGGCCTTCCCATTCTATAGATTTCTCTTCTTTCAGTTAAAAGTATCTTTTAAATTTGAGCATTTCATAGTTAAGACTTTAAACTCTTCATTTATTTCATGTGAAGTGAAATGAAAACATGAAGAAATTTGGCTAAGCCTTTCTCCTCTAGTTCCCTCAACTGTATGACAGGAAAAATAGCACCTGCCTTGTAGAATTCTTTCCTTTTATAACTATTTTTCAGAGATGTGTTTGTCTGAAAATAGACAGATGTTCAGTTACTACAGATTCAAAACACTAGAGTAGAAATATATCTCTGAGGGCTGGCAATTTAACTCAGTGGTGCTGCTGCCTGCCTCGCAAGCACAAGGTCCTGAGTTCGATCCCTGGTACCAAAAAAAATGTCTCTGAGCTAGTGATATCTATCACAGTCTTCTTATTGAAGCTCACAGGGTTGGCCAGCAGGGACAGAGTGCAAATGGCAAATGCAGTCACCTCCTCAGCCACAGGTCTGTGCCTCATGGACGCTCAGCAGTCAGATGCCCAGCAGGTGATAGTCACAAAGCCATGGGACAATAGAAGTTGTTCTATATTAGGAAAAGGCCAAGGAAACTTGGAGTAGCTTGCTTTTTCTTCATATTTGACCACCTTTTCCATTCTTTCTTACCTAATTCCTGTAATATCTCTTTATGAGCCTAAAGCAAATACAGTATATGCTTCCTCCTGCTATCTTTCTTATATAACTGCAGAAGAATAAGTATTATTCTTTCTGTTCCTGTAGGTTTTCTTTAGTGTAATCCATAGTAGCTACTGCATTGGAGCAGCAGCCCCTCACTTTGAAACCTTCAGTGTCGCCAGAGGAGCTGCCTTTCATATTTTCCAGGTTATTGATAAGGTAAGACCTCTTATTGCTTAGAAAGATTTCTGAAGAAGGAAACCATAAAACAAACACATACATTTCACTACAATAGGATGAGCAAAATCTGCCTTAGCCTGATGGTATAGAAAGAAATACTGCTTTTATGAAGAGATTGTATTTTATTGAAACCTTCATGTCTAATTTAACACACTTCTAAAGTAGAAAGGTAAGTGTTGCAAAATAAAACCTTCTTTAAAGTATTTTTAGGATACAGGGAGTATCAGTTTAGTTCTTGGAAGATTTTTAATTTCTCTTTCTTTTTCCAAGAAACCTAATATAGACAACTTTTCCACAACTGGATATAAACCTGAATGCATAGAAGGAACTGTGGAATTTAAAACTGTTTCTTTCAGTTATCCATCACGCACATCTATCAAAGTAGGTTAAATTAAGTAGTACTGTACAGTTTTCTAATAATATCTTCTACTGGCTAAGATCTCTTATGTGATTATATGGGATGATTTTCACCAAGATGTTGGCTACTTTGCTTATAGCCTTCAGAAGATAGTAGAGCAGGTAGATAATTAATGGAAAAATATGCTGCAAAAGCATTTTTATTTTGCAGCCTCTTTTCTATAGTTAACTGACAAAAGCATTTTCAACTCCCTGGAAATCTGTGCTTTGAATTTGCAACCAAAATGCCTTGGATTTATGGTGCCACCTATTGGATGTCCCACTTCACATAGAGAATTCTTTCTTTTTAACTGAGGATAGAACCCATGGGCACTCTACTACTCTACCACTGAGCTACATCCCCAGATTTTTTGTATTTTATTTGGAAATAGTTTCTCACTGGGCTCAAATGTGCAGTCCTCCTGCCTCAGCCTCCTGAGTAGCTGAGATTTACAGGTGTGTGCCACCACATCCAGCTAAATACTTCATTTTAACCTTGTAGTTTTTCTAATCAGGGACATGATGCAGGTGTTGCCTTCTCTCTTCCCTGAGGCTTTTACTGCATTAGCAACTGTGTTTCATGTACCTTCCTTCTCATCTTTACACATGAATAACACACATACATAAGCACATGTTCACATATGCGCACACTATAGAATTTGTCCTCCAGTTAGTCTTTGACAAGTTCTTGTGAAAATGTGTCAATGTGTCTATCTCTCCCATTACCTTTCTCTTTATCAATGTACTTATTCAAAAGGTACTATTATTAAAGATTGCAAAGAATATTTACTAATAAAACACTTGTTTCATTGAAAAAAATAGAGAACTGGCTTCTTATGAAATGAAATAAATAAAATTACTAATGTCACCAAGCCCTAATGGCCCTAATGGAAACTGCATTAAAAATAATCTACCTACTCCTACTTCCTTATTTTTCACTGATTAAAACTTCTATTGAAATTCTCTTTTCAAAGTCCTTTGTTTTTCTAAAATGTTTTGTTACTTAAATACCAGCATTGGGTTAGGTTGCCTTCTACCCTTTTTCTTAACATAGACTATTTCAAACTCCAATTTGCAGCTACATCTCAGTTGGCTTCCCAGGAACCTAAGCACCAGTTGTGCCATTATACTGCCCTGGGAGTGTTCTCTAGTTTTAAACAATTATTTTTTTTAAATGAACTTTTGAAATATAACCCTTTTTGTTAAGCTCACAAATGATTTTTTTTAAGTGCCCACCTACTTTAAATAAATAAAACACCAGTTCTTACAAGGAATGAAAAGAAATCAATTCAAGAATAAGTGCCTATGGGAGAGGAAGTACTCATGTTGGTGGTCCTGATTTCTCACCTCCTTTAGAATATTTTGCTCTGCTTGGCCTTTTGATGGTTTTGTGCTTGGTTTATTGAAAGGGTCTGTTTCTTTACAAATTATGAGATCAAATGGGAGATTCTAAAGGGGCTGTTATCTGGGCTAAAAGTATATAGATTGCAAGCAAAGAAAAGTGTCATTTGGGATAATAATTGTGAGGTTGCTCTCATATGATTCTAAAGGGAGAATTTGATACCTGGGCTAAAAGTATATAGGTTGCAAGCAAAGAAAGGTGTTATTTGGGATAATAATTGTGAGGCTGCTCTCATACCACAGATCCCTGAGACACTGAATGCTGGTAGTGACCTCTTGTCATTGAGAAAATTTTTGAAATGTTTCTACCGTGCTCATGAGATCACTGGAAAGGGAGGGTTTCCAGTGGTGACAGCCTGTCCGTGGGTGTCACTCAGGAGCATTGCCAGTTGTTCTTTGGAATATACTTTGCAATAATGTTGGGTTTTTTTTGGTTTTTTGAGGCTGGGTCTCCCTTTGTAGTTCAGGCTGGGCCTGAACTCACTACGTAGCCCAGGCTAGCCTCAAACTCTCAGTGATCCTCCTGCCTCATCCTCCTGAGTGCTGGGATTACAAGTGTGCACCACCACACCTGGGCACTTTGCAATAATATTAAATGTATTCTAAGTAAGAGCTTTCTTAAATAACTTAAAAAGATATCAGACAAGATGTCATTTAGTTGTTGCAAATTAAAAGATAAAACTTTCATTAACGTGGTAGTCATGAGATTCATTTAAGGTACTTTAATTGAAAATGTGAACTGTTTGCTGTGGCTAATTAATATTCTATGAGTACTCCTAGCTAAGTTCTCCTCTTTATATACAGAAGTGAATGTAAATTCTTCAACACTATTTTCCAAAGTTATGTAGATTATTACATATGCATGAGGAAAAATCATAAGATCTAAATTTGTTTTTAAGTGTCACAGAGGAAACTGTTTTCTGTTTATAATTATACATTGAATTTCAGGAAGTATGTATATCCTAGCTTTTTCCAAACTTTATCATTTTCCTACATGTATTCTGATAGATTCTGAAAAGACTGAATCTCAAAATTAAGTCTGGAGAGACAGTAGCCTTTGTTGGCCCCAGTGGAAGTGGGAAGAGTACTGCAGTCCAGCTTCTGCAAAGATTATATGATCCTGATGACGGCTTTGTAAGTGCAGATTGCCAGAAAAAATATGCATAGTCCACATCACAGGATTTGGACACACCACCTATTACAGAGAGCTGACAGCTACATTGACTTTGAATTTTTAACAGTGTGGCTAAGAGATAAGCTGTGTCACTTTCTTTCCTATGTATTCATTCATTTCACAAATATTTATTTAGTGCCTACTACCCCTGTTTCCTCAAATATAAGACCAAAGCAGAAAATAATCAGCCTTGTAAACTAGAGATCAAAAATGCCAGTCCCAATCAACCTATCTTTGCCTTACCTGCCTTTACAGAGTAGCCACCAAGCAAAAGAATACATGACTTTGGTTGTCACCATGGCACAACCAGCTAGGGCTTATTTTCCAGGAAACAAGAATATGTCAAGCACTAAGTTCTAGGAATATCTCAGTGAACAAAACATAACAATCTCTGCCTTCATGGAGTTTATATTCTAGTTAGTAGAGATGGACAACAAATAAAATAAGTAAATTACATAATACAGTATGTTTAAAGTGAATGGATGTCTTAGAGGAAAACAACGTAGTCATTTGTATACCCAAAGCTTATCAAGAAGAACTTCAAAATTTTTCAGCATGTACAAAACAGCTTCACTTTCTTTTTTTGCTATAACCTATAATGTTGTTCTTAACTAATGTTACTCATCCTTGTAAAGGGCATAGAGAATAAGACTGTGATATTCTCAAGTACATAATTCTTAATGCTTCTGTTCAGACTTTCAATATTATTTTTTAAATCTATTCTTCTAGACCCATTTTTACTTCTAAATTTTACTTCATAGCCTCTGTTTGGCATATCTAACACCCAGGACTCTATGCTAATACTGACTAAATAAATTACGAGATAAGTATCCCATGTATAAAGCAGTTGCATAGAATACCCATTCCCAGACAAAACCCCAAGGTTGGTGAGAAATAGAGGTGTAATGATTACCATATCTGGGCTTCTGTCATAGGAATAAGTTTGGGTAATGACATCAAATACAGTGAAGACAGAGTTCACTTACTATTATTTACAGCAATGAGTGGTGTGGCTCTTGTCCTTGTGGTTAAGTGAAGTACTGAAGAGAAGTAAAAATAGGTTCTTCTCAGAAGAACTTTAAAGGTCACATCACTCTTAAGACAACAAAGTGAAGTTTGTTATGTGTCTCTCACAGTAACATTAGTGCTACCTAGAGTATGTATCTTACTGATAAATAGTGAGTTTTAGAATAAAGATATTCAGGTTTAGCAAGATTTAAGCCAATTTTTTGAAGGTTTTTTTCTTGGCTTCCCATTTATAAGAAAGTGTATTGACCATATACATATTATGAATATTTTATATAGCCAGTCTCTGATTCCTGAGATACACTATTTCTCAGCTCATATTTCAGACTAGAAAGAAAGACTAAAACCAATACAGTAAAAGGCATCATAATACGGTTCGTGATTTGGATTAGCAGATCACAGTGGATGGGAAATGACATCAGAACCCTGCATGTGCGGCATTATTGAGAACATATTGGCGTGGTCTGACAAGAGCCTGTTTTCTTTGGGACCACCATCAGCAACAATATGAAGTACGGACGAGATGACGTGGCTGATGAAGAGACTGAGAAGGCACCGAAAGAAGTAAATGCTTATGACTTTATAATGAAGTTTCCCAATGTAAGTCTGTGCGTTGCCTATGTTCTCATCTTAGAGATGTAGTACTGCAGTATTCCAAAATAAGGTAATGAAAACAATAACTTCTACTGAATACCACAACTGTGATAATTTGAGTGTCCTAGATGAGACATCCATAGGAAAGAAAGCACAGCAACAACCAAAAGAACAAATGCATCAGTGAAAGACTAGCTTTGAAAGAGTCATATTTAGTTCTTATTGGTTTTGACTACACGTGGAAAAGAAAAAATGAAAAGTACATTAAAGTATAGCAAAGAAATACGAGATAAAATCATCAGCCCACACTGAGAAACAACTGAAAAAGTTGACTTGTGACGCCATCTTGTGGCTATGAGTGGAAATGTCACACACACAATATATTGCTTGGTTTTCTTAACAATGCAGAGGAAAAACATTTTTTAAAGCACATAGGGTTAATGGGTGAGAAGGGTGAAGTCATACCTGTAAAGAGATATGATAAACTAAAATTATTAGTAATAAGACATATCAGGTCTCAATGAATATTTAGAGTTGACAGTTATAAACCCTTTTATTTGCATTTACTGAAGTTTTAGTTCATCATCATAACCTGAAATTGTTGCAGGGAGCACCCTGTGAAATATGAAAGAATGATATTTGAAATTAAAATACATATAGTGACTGGTTATGTAGCTCAGTGGTAAAGCACTTGCCTAGCATGCCCAAATCCATGGGTTTCACCCCAAGCATCACAGAAATATAAAATAAAATGCATATAAAATTTCAAAATAGCAGAAGGTAACAATAACAAAAAAAAATCTTGATAGACATATTTTACAAACCACTACTATGTTGGTAATAATTCCTTTTTAAAAAAATAAAAACTTTTATTATGCCAGTAATTATTTCCTAAATTATTATTTAAGTTCATAATCAGCACAATATTGAGGCCAGCAAAATCTTGTTGTGATTATCTTATGGTTTGGAAAAACACTTTCTTTCACTGACCTTTTTCCTATTTCAGTGACTTTCTTTCCTTTAAATAATGAATGCGCTCCCATTTCCCACTTGGAATTAGGCAACTAATGGTTGTCTCTTAAATCAAAATTATGATTTGCTTTACTAAAAGGGCATTACTACATAAAGATGCTCCTTCCTATAAATGTAATAGTAAAACTTAAAGCTATAATCCAAAGAACAAAGATCCTGCCTTATCACAGTAAAAATTAAATTTCATAGTTATGGCTACCAGAGAAATAGAAAAAGTATAAAAATAATATTTCCAGGATATAGGGATATGACTCAGAGGTAGAACACTTGCCTAGCATGTACAAGCCCCTGGCTTTGATCCCCAGCATGAAAAAAAAAAGGATAAACTAAAATAAAATTTCCAGACATGGTTAATTCAGGTAAGAGGAAATTTAGGGAACGCTTTTTTCAAAATGAATAGCATTACTTATATATAAATACATATATATTTCAAAACTAATATATTAAGTTTTACTGATTCTGGCCATCTTTTCAACCATAACATGCCATGCAACTAGCTAAAATATATGAAGTGTAGGACAGTCACTTTTAAGCATGGGTCAAGAGATAGTGAAAGACTGTGAACCTTGAAAGATAGTTACTCAAGAAGAAATTCCATGAATTTGCAGCATTCTTCTGGGAGCAAACTTCTGACCTCACTTATGTGAACTGTAATCAGCTAGAACACCACCATCCCAATGACCTGAAAGGCAGAGATCAAATTGTAAGGCCGCTTAGGAAAGGTGATAAAAGAGCTCTGAAACTGAGGTAAAGCTAGAAGTCCAGGTGGGCATTCGTTGGGAATCCTTGTCTGAGATAAGATGACAAAGGTTTATCCAAGCAGCAATTACAAAGCTGAGAGTAGAATGGAGATATGAAAATGCAGCCCAGCTGGAATGGAGAAATCCCATTTAGACCTTTTTAACACCTTGGACAAGAAGGTAAGACACCAAATAAGCTACGCCTTAGAGGTAAGGACCATATCTTAGAGTAGCACCAACTTTAAAACCCAGCCATGACAAGACCCCGAGGAGGCTCAATTTGGGAGTTTGTTCCTTCAAGTTACAAGGTTTCATTCCAACAGGTATAAAATCAAGAGTGCCTGAGTTCAAGGTGATGATCAGTCAGTATTTGAACTGCCTACTGCACCAAAAATCAATAGTTATTCAGAAGAAAACAGAACTCAGAGTCTTTCCAACATATCATGCACAATATTCAGCATATAATTTATAAACCCAATAGGTACACAAAACAGAAAAATAACTCATGAGCAAAAAAATCATAATCATAAGTGTTTATTCCCTTAAGAAAAGAGCTTCAAAATAGACAAGGCAAAATTAATACATCTAAAATAGAAAAATCAACAATTTTAGTTGAAGGCTTTGGTATTTAAAACAAATAGGCAGAAAATCAATCAGGATATAAATGGCTTGAACCATACTACCAACTGATTATAACTGACACGTATAGAACGTTCATTCCCTCCAACAACAGCAGCATAAATTCTTGTGGAACATTCACTGACATAATCGATATTCTGGGCCATGAAAAACAAACAAAGCAAAACTCTGGCAATTTCAATGAAGAGAAAACATATGAAATATGTTCTCCAACCATAATAGAATTAAACTGATATTACAAACAGAGATATATCTGAAAAATACCCAAATATCTGAACATTGAATAAACATTTCTACATAAACTGTGGTTCAAAGAGGAAGTCTCAAAGGAATTAAAAATTATTTTGAACTAAATGAAAATTCAATCCAGCATTATTAGAAGAATATAGTTAAACCACTGATTTTAGAGAAATTTATAATACTAAATGCTTATTTTTAGAAAAAAAAAATCCCACCATCAGCAAAACAAGTTTCTACTTTAATAAACTAGAGAAAGAACAAATTAGACCAAATCTAATAGAAATGATGGAGATCAGAGCAGAAATCAATGAAAACCACTGAAACCAAAAGCTGGTGCGTTGTCTATACCAAGACTGAGGATAGAAAAACATGGGGGGTGGGTGGCAGGGAGAGAGATAGAAATGACCAACATCAGGAGGCTTCTGGGCCACTGTAGCACCACTCACAGCACACAGGAGGAGGCTTCCCGGCCAATGTACCACGGCTCCCAGCACAGAGGAGGAGGTTTCCAGGTCAGTGTACCATGGATCTCAGTACAGAGGAGGATGCTTCCAGGTTGACGAACCACCACTCCCAGCACATAGGAGGAGGCTTCTGGGTCAACATGCCACTGTTCCCAGAGGAGAGGAGGAGGCTTCTGGTCCAACATACCACCACTCCCAGAAGAGAGGAGGAGACTTCCTAGCTGCAGTAGCACTGTTCCCAGCACAGAGGACGTGAGCTGCATGGGAGACAGCAGAACCCTCCCCTACACACACCCCCATACCAGTCAAAATAAGAAGACATGTAAACAAGCCACAAAATCAGACTTGCAGATCACCTACAGCAGTAACCCCAAAGGGAAATGAGGCGGAACTCTGATGCTCAACAACCTGGACCTACTGAACTGTCAACAAAAGAGGATCTGGAAAAAATGAAATCAGAAATAATTTCTCAGATAACAGCAGAGATTGTGCCAATAGTGCAAGACATGATTAATAAATATACAGAGGAGATGAAGAACATGATGGAATCCAAACATAGGAACAAATGGAATCCATAAAACAAATGCAAACAGATTTCCAGATTAAAAACTCCATTGAAAGTCTATGCAGCAGAATGAGCCAATGTGAGGACAGAATTTCAGATATAAAAGATAAGACTGCGATTAGTGACCAGGAAAAGAAAAATTGCTTTAAACTTGGAAGGGACCATGAGAAATCAATCCAGCAGCCGCTAGATGATGCAAAGAAGAATAACATAAGACTGATTGGAGTCAATGAAGAAACAGGAGAGAGTGCAGATGACACGAAAAAAACTGTTCACAGAAGTGATGGCAGAAAACTTTGCAAGCAGGGGGAAAGAACTTGACATACACATAAGTGAGGCATATAGGACTCCAACTACACTTGTTCAAAAAAAAAAAATCTACAAATAGGCATATAATTGTTAAGAATCCAGAAACCCAACAGGAGAAAAAAGTTCCAAAAGCAGCTAGAGAAAAGAAACAAATCACATACAAAGGAAAGCCCATCAGAATCACAGCAAAAGCCCTAAAACAAAACAGCCTCCAACCCAGATTGATGTACCCTGCAAAACTATCTTTCAAAATTGGTGTACAAATAAGATACTTTTATGACACAGAGCACCTTAGGAACTTCATGAATACCAAACCAGCACTTTTAAAAATTTTAGACAGTATCCTAGGAAAAGACAAAAAGGATCACAACCCAAGGAAGCCCAGCAGAATGAATCCATTAGGCATGACAAGAAATTAAACACAAAGGGGGAGACTCCAACAAAAACAAAAAAATCAAGACAAATATAAGTCAATACGTATCAGTTATAACTATCAATGTTAATGGTCTCAATTCACCAATCAAAAAAAATAGACTGGCAGAATGGGTCAAGAAGCAAGATCCAACAATATGCTGCATACAGGAAACACACTTAATTCAAAAAGAAAGTCACAGACTGAAAG